AAAAATAATAATTAGCAATTTTTAAAATTACTTTAATTACTTATTATTCCAGAATACAGATAAGAATATATTACTATAAATTTTATAGTTCAACTTTCAATTATCAAGTCTGACTATAACATAATAGTAATCTTTATAAATAAGTTATCTAAAAGAGTGTACTTTGTACTAATTATAATCATAGTAATAGTATCTGATATTATAAAGATTTTCTTTGAAAATATCTTTAAATTATATAACTTACTTATAATTATAATATTAAATAGAGATGCAAAATTTATAAGTTACTTTTGAAAGTCTTTTTTTGAATAACTTGAAATAAAATTAGTAATATCAATAGCATTTTACTTTCAAACTAATGGCTTAATAGAAAAACTAAATAGAATTTTGAAAGAGATATTGAGAATATACATTATCTATCAATAAAATAGATAGAATGAAAATTTAGTAACTGTAGAATTTGTCTATAATAATAATAAAAATATTTCAATAGGCTATATACCTTTTGAATTAGATTATAAATAAGTATCTCATATATTAATTAATATTTTATTTTCACAAAATAATATTATAATATCTCAAGATTTTATGGAAAATTAGAATATCATAATATCATAATCAAGACTGCCAAAGATTTGTTATTAAAAATACAAGAAAGACAAAGTAAATATGTAAATTAGTATAGAAAATTTGAAGAATTCAATCTTGAAGATAAAGTTTTACTCTTTATCTATAATATAAAAGTTTCAGTTAATAAATAAAGAATAATTAAAAAGTTTACATCAAAGTTTATAGGCTTCTTTAAAATTATCATAAAAATATCTTCTGTTATTTACAAACTACAACTATTATATAATATAAAATTGCATCTAGTATTTTATATCTTATTATTAAAGAAATATAATTCAAATAATAAATATAATAGATATTAACCATTATTAGCAATCATTATCTTAGATAATGAAGAAAAATATAAAGTTGAAAATATTCTTGATAAAAGAATTTATTATTACAAATTCTAATATCTTATTAAATAACTTGATTATTCTCTCTATAATATAACTTGAAAATTTCTTGAAAACTTAAAAAATATCATGAAAAAGATTAATATCTTTGAAAAATTATATTCTTGAATATAATAAGAATATTATATTTTAAGTAAGAGAATATGTAATAATTTTGATTGAATTATCTTTCTTTTAGATTCTTTTAGTTTAGATCTTTATTTTATATTATCTTTATTACAGATTAGCTTTATATTATATTTTTAAGAAGATCAATTTCATACTGAATATATAGATAATTATTATGTATTTAATATATTAGATTTAGCATATTATTATATAGATGATCACTATATATACTTATATTATTAATTAATATTTTTAATTAGATTTCTTTATAATAATTCTTTTCTCTTTTTACTTATTTTCATTTATTATTATTTATATTATTATTTATCATATTATTAATTATTAGATTATAATTAGTTATTCTTCAGAGATACAAATTAAGTTAATTATTTATTAAATCATATATATTTTAAAAATAAAAATCATTATTAATTTATTTGCTTTTTGTATTTATTTTTTTTATAATAAATAAGATCTGTCTGTTCTGTAATTTTTTTCAGATCTAAATACTTTTAAATAATAAAAATAATTATAAGTTATAAAATTAAACTATTCATATTGCATTTTATTTTATTTATAACTATTAATAAAATAATCTTACAATAATTTTATTTTGCAAAATTAGATCTTGAATAATTTTATAAGTTATAAAATATTAGTTATAGCTATATTAGATTTTAATACTAATTATAATATTATAAGAGCTTAGTAAATAGAGTAGATTTGAAAATTAATAATAATTATATTAGAGATATAGAAATATATAATTCTATTAATATATTAGAAGTAATTCATAAAATAGATATTTCAATTTTATTAAAAAATCATAAATGAGAGTAAGTAAAAGTTACTGATATTTTTGTTATTAATAGTTCTGAACTTGAATTTGTTCTAATATTAAATTAATCATAATTTCAGAAAAATGTAATGAAAATGAACTTTTTAAATAAAACTTTTATATTGCTTAATAAAACTAGTTATAGATTAAATATAATTGAGAATATCTAGAAAATATGTAATATATATTTCTAAAATTAATTATTTAAATATTAATTATTTTTTTAATTAAAGATATATAATATATAACTTAAGAATAATATAACTAAATATTTTTGATTTATCAGAATTACTAGATAGATTTTATATTTTTTAGAGTTTTATTAATTTTTCTATCTTGCTTTATTTATTAACTATCTTTGATATTATTATAATACTCCTATTCTATAATATTATATTAAGTTTTTTTAATAAAGATTATCAGCAAAGTTAGTGTATCCTAAATATATCTCAGATTTTACTTAACAATTAATAAATTTTAAAAGAGTTATATATAAAAAAATAAAGTTATTATATTATATAAAGATAATATATCTCAAATTAGAAAATTTAAGAATCTTAGATACTTAATTAGTATAATTATATATTCATATCCAGATATATACATTCTTATTCTTAATAAAAATAAGAATTTTATTAATATATTAATTATAAAAATTATGAGATTTTCTCCAAAACTATAATATCTGAATTTTAATTTATATATATATCTCACTAATCAGTATATTACTGAAATTATTCACTCATACTTAAAACTTAGATATCTTAAGCTTGGTAATTACTTGATTAGTAATAAAACTATTAAGAAAATAGTTAGTAACTATACTAATTTGAAATATCTTAGTTTGAAGAGATATAAAAGAATTAGTAATGACTTGATAAAAAAATTTAATTCAAAAATTAAAATTAAATATTCAAATTATTTTGATAATGAATTCTTTAATTTTAATTTATCTCTACTTATTCTAATCTTTATCAATGAATAAAATAAGATAACTATAATCAGATTCTTTAGAAATTACTCTTTAAGTTATATATCAGATAAAATGGATTTTATTTTTATAATTAGTAATTATCTCAGAAAGAATTCTTTAACACAAGTTATAATTAATTATATTTATTAATGAAAAATAAATAATTATTTACTGAGTTATTTTTTTAGTTATAATATATATTATTAAATAATATTTAATATAATTTTTATAGAAATACTTGTAAAAAGAAAAATTCTAGTAAAAATATTAATTAATATATCATCAAAGTTTAATATTATTAGCAAGAATTTATTCAATAAGCTTGATACTGATCATAAAATAAAACCAACTTGTAATTTGATTAAAAATTTCTATAAAAATATAATAAGTAAAATTTATTATTTAAATTTATAATTTTAGTATAAAGAAATATACTATAACTTAGATAGTACTAATGTAATAGACTTTAAAATTTACAAAAATCTATTATTTGATTTGATATTAAATCAAGATTGATTATAGATATATAAAATAAGAATTATTTTTGGATTTTCTTTTAGAATCTATGAATATTATAGTAAAATTATAATAGATAGTATAAGTATTCTATTAATTAATAAAGATTTTAATAAAGTCAGCTCTAGTAAAAATAACTCATCTATCTCTCTATCTCAAAAAGATATTAAGAAAATAATTAGATTTATAGTATTTATTTTATCTAATATTTCTGAATTAGATATCTCTTGTTCAAAAGATATACATATATATAGTGAAGTTAATATTAAGATATATAAGATTATTAAAAATATTTTACTAAATAAAAAATTTGCAAAATAAGAATGCATAGTTACAAAGTAAAAGCAAATTACATCATATTATAATAGATCTCAGAGAATGATATTATATATAAATATAATTTATATTATTATTTATAATTTAAGAAATAAGAGTGTGAAAAAATATATTATATATATGTTTGAATTATAAGCAAAATAATATCTGAAGTTAACTTATATTTTCATTAATACTTATTACTCTATGCTTTTACTATTACTATTTGAATTGAATTTTGATAAGTCTTCTAGCATTTGAGATAATAGATTTTTATATTAATATAATTCTTATTATTCTATTCATTCTCTATAATAAATTTTATATTTTCTTTTTTATGATCTTTATTACATATAGCAGGAAATTGAACTATTAAAAATAAAATAATTGTGATTTTTATTGCTATATTTCAAAGATAAATAAGAGAACTATTCTAGTATTTTATTAATAATGGACTTTCACTTCTCTTCTAGATTATTAGGTAAAATAAAGATAGAATATTAGGATTTATTAGATATATTACATAAAACAGTGATGATATATTTGCTTTAGTATTTGGTAATTTTTCTGAATCAGTAAAAATAGATTTAATAGATGTATTTATCTTAACTTCTGGTAATTTCAAATCTTTATCATTTTCTTGGAATAAATCTATTACAGAGTAATAATCCTTTAGATCTAAAAGAATCAATTCAATAGATATACTTACCTTTGTTTCAGATAAATTATCTGAAAAATTATTCTCTTCATCAATAAATTCTATATTAGGTATTTTAGTAAAGTGATCTATAATCATTTAAATCTGAGAATTAGTAAATTTTAAAATAGTATCCACATTATATATTTTAATATATTGGATCTTGTCCATTCCTATTTTTTCAAATAAATTATCAATTCTTAAAGCTTTCTGTATCTGCTTACATAAAGTTTTGCATTTAATGTCAGGTAGCTGTTTGATAATAAAATCATATATCTGACCTTTTGTCTTCTTTTCTCCAACTTTATTATTGATCATAAAATTTTTATACATGTTTTTGAATTCTCTAGCATAGAAATACCAATGTAATATTTCTTTTCTATTGGCTTTGATTGCATCTACTTCCACATCACATGCATTTTTATATAGACTAATAATATCTCCATTATCTGGTGATAACTGGGATATGGATAGAATAAATGGAGTTATTGAAGTCTCATGCTTTTCTTCCTTGGATGAAATCATTTCTCAAATCAAGCTCTGTTCATTTTTCCGCTCATGGGAAGTAGTAGATGTAGTAGATATAGTATTCTGGAAAATCGAGTGTGCCTCCTGGCTAGACGATTTATACTGAAGTTTTTCCTTCCTATTCCTCTGTCTAATCTCATTACTAACCCTTTTCTTATGTACCTCATTCAAGAAAGCATCTGTCTCTTTATCCGCCAATATCTTCTGCTTACTCGTGTAAGAAAACTGGATTTTAGATTTGGATGAAACTTCAGAAACATTATTAAGCTGGTCCACAACAGAGCTAGGTATATTAATAACTTCCCTGGAAGAAATATCTTGGGTTTGCTGTTTGCTCTCTCCATTATCGTCCCTTAGTTTCACTACTTCGGCCTTAAGCTCAGAAATTGCATCATCACACGGCATTTTCAGCAACAATATCCGTCCTACCCTTCTCTAGCTCCCCGATTCTATTCTTGAGCTCAGCCTTTAGCTTCGTAATTTCATTTATAGCATCATCGTACTTGGTCTTAACATCAGCATTCTCGACCTCAAGCCCGGTAATCTTAGCTATAAGTCTGGCGTTCTCCTGTCTAAGAAAGTTAATCTCGGATTCCATGAAAGCACTTTTTATACACAATAAACAAGCATTCAAATAAAATAAACACGTGATTTTTGGCGAACTTTTCATCAAAAAAGTTCGCTGAAATTTTGCCAAGAAAATTTTAATAAAGCATGTAGCCCGTGATCGTACTATGATCTCGTATTTATGACTCTTCGAGTCGCCCTAAGGGCCTGATATATTTATATTAGCACTATATACCAGCTTCGCTAAAAAAATCTAGCGATTGATATATTTACACGAAAATCTTTATTTAACCATGATGATCGTTGATATATTTATTGATATATAACTAACACCCATCTGAAGAGTATCCTCAGCCTTTAAACCGTGTCTTGCTCGTCTTAAATCTAAAGTATTTTATTAGCCACGAATATTGTTTTTTAACTTATAATCATGTAATTAAATAACTTACCGATATGTCCTCTTCTGCAATCTGTTGAAGGTGGGATTCGTATTTGTTTTGCTTTCGGTTTGTCGAGTCTAACCTGGCGATTTAATCCATGAGCATCGTTTAGGTCTTGTTGAGGGATTATAGGGACAACCAATCATTCACATCTCGCTCAATTCCATCCTTTCGATCTTTGTAAATATCAGTAAAATCGCGCAGATGGTGGAAGAACATTCTATGAGCGAAATAAACGATACTGTGCCGGACCCCTCGAGTTACTGGAAAATTTCCATGAAGAAGCAGACGAGAAGAAAAAGCAACGACCTGCCCTGGACGAAGTGGAACGATAATCTGGAGTTGGGGGAAGCACAGTTCACCTCCGTCAAAATCACCCAATGCGACCAAGCAACAAAAGGAATTTGGATCATCGTGTTCATCCCAGTAGTAATTGCGATCATAGGGAAGACATTGACCTTGCTAAATTAAAAAAATATATTTACAATAAATAACATCATAATGGAAGATTGATTGCCTGTAGCGAACTTACTAGTTTCCAATCTCGGACGCATCAAAAACAAAAAGGGTGTGTTTTAATGCCAAATGCTTGCAAAAGGAATGGATATGTGCCAATAAATATAATTATTAATGGCATTTGTGCACATACCAAGGTTCATATTTTAGTCGCTCGAGCCTTTATTCCTAATCCGAAAAATAAGCCTTATGTTAACCACATTAATGACATCAAATATGATAATCGAGCAGATAATTTGGAATGGGTAACTCCTAAAGAGAATGCTGAGCGTAAGGTATTCCCAAACCGTAGTCGTGGTAGATCCAGAAAAATTGTTCAGAAAACTTTGGATGGAAACGTTGTTCAAATTTGGGATTCAATAACTCTTGCAGGTTATGCACTTAAGATTTCGAGAAACCATATTTCGGCATGTTGTAGTTGAAAGCGAAATATTGCTGGTGGTTGGCGTTGGATGTATTATGAGGATTATATAGAACAAGACCCTAATGAAGAGTGGAAAGAAATAGAGGTAGATTCACGAAAATTTAAAGTTTCATCTCTCGGAAGAGTTCGGTTGCGCAATGGTTTAATCTCTCGGGGATCATTGCACTCCGAGTTAAAAAATATCGTATTCATCGGTTGGTAGCATTAGCATTTTGTCTAAAAGAAGGCAAAGAATATTGACGGTGACTCTACTAACAATAATGCATCCAATCTCGAATGGTGTACCCCGAAAGAAAACTCCCAGCATGCTGTACATCTCGGCCTTTGGGGCAACGGTCGTCGACGTGCTGACAAACAGATTTTCGATGATGGCTCTACTCAAGAAGTTCTATCCATATCTGAAGCACAACGTATAACTGGAATTGATGGATCATATATTGAAAAGTTTGCAAAAGACGTAAAGGTCATGCTGGTGGATATCGTTGGGGGTATGTAGCGCAATAAACATTCGTATGTTTTCCAGCTCAATTGCATTATAAATATATTTTTTTAATTCCTTAAAGACAAGTTCGCATCGGTACTCACAAGAGGCGTATTGAGTTTAATACTATAAATCTTATAATCCATAAATAATTATAAAAAATAGTCATGGAATAATTACATGGGAGAAACACTGACCCAAAACCTTTTGCCACTCGTCCCAGTATTTTGAATAAAAGGATTACGGTAACTGTCTTACTTTTATTGATTTTTCGTGGTACAAAGAGTCGATTAAAAATCTTGCTCAACGAATTTACGTAAAGTAAAAAAAGAATTGATATGCAAGATCGCTTATTACATGACTGTATAAACAGCGCCATTAAGTCATTGTTTTATTGATGATAAAATCAATACTATTTTCCAACCCAAAAGTGAATCGACCGACTCTAATGAAGTAACAACTTTACTTGTGGAGAATCTGGAAGTTTACGCACAAAAGACATCTGTGCAGGTGGCGTGAATTGGCTACTCCGATATTTGTAGTTTTCCGCAATTTTCTCGATACGTTCCTAACATTTAAATGGGAAATTAAGTTGAGTAAAATGCTTATTATAAACAAGCTCGAAGAAAACATGTTATATACCTCCAAAGCCACTAAATGGCCGATTGCAGACTCTGCTAATGGAATCGTAGTCTTATCAATCACAAGTCTTGTGGTAAGAAACGGCCAGGAACGGTATAAACCATCGTATTGCAGATCCATGAAGAATGATTCCATTAAATCGCCTGGTTATCACAGAAAATCATTCAATGTATCACAAAAAAAAACCAAACTTTTGCGCAATCACATCTATTATAAGCATACATACCCATATTTAGAAATATACCAGCTTCACCTGGACCTCCCTTAGTTTCCAGTTGCAGATTGATTGATTCTCGGGCATTTAGTTGTACTTTTAGGCTATCCTTCCTCCGTTGCAAGGGTGTGTATCCTAGTGGTTTGATCTCTGAATTTAAAATTGGTACATCGTTTACCGTGCAGGAAAGATCTGGTCTTTTTTTGTGCCCTTATTAGCACGGTTTAATCTAAGCTCGTATTCTTTCTCAGACCCAGTAAATAACGGTCGACTGATTGGATAAAGGAACATGTAACAATGTTCTTCTTCAGATAATTTCAATGGTGCAACTTTAGGAACACACTTAGATCTGTAATAAACATTATATAAGCAATAAATTTAAGAATTACAAATCATATATTATAGAACAAATAAACTTACAAATCATTGAATGAGCACGTGACCGCTCTACTTAAATCCGAATTTCCACCATTCATAAAAATATCATTATTAACTAAATGTATACGAGTTGCATTATGAAGAGAAGATGAAATCTCAGGCGAAAGTGGTGGTTCATTTATAACATAAGGATTGGTGTTTGTTATTTCTTTCCACTCTCTGTTTGTAAACATGGGATATGAACACGGCCAACAAAGCACCATGATTGACGATAAGGCTCTAAATGCAGTGAGGAAAAAGATGCTTAATATATCTTGATATGATCATTGTGCTATCATGTTTCAGAATACTTACAAAACTTCGTAAATATTTGCATATTTTAAACCACCTCTCTCCGCCTTCTGGATCACCTCTTTCTGATACCACCGAAATCTATCGGTTACGTTAATACAACCAACTTCCCACTAGGAAACAGAAGAAAACTTGAGATACACAAAATAAAGGAATTAATGCTTGCCATGTAATATACTTTAGTTCTCGGTTCGCGTTGCAATTCCATCGAAATCCTTGCTAGATCAAATTTAATTTCCTCGTCGTCCCCGAGCTCTTCAGTGCTTTTATCATCAGGTTCAGAAATGGTGGATGTTTGTTTTACGTTCATAGAGAGAAGAAGCTCAGAGGAAGACTTTGTTGCATTAAATTTTTCATCTAATTTCCTCTAAATTACAGAACACACCAATAAGTTACTTGTTGTTTAAAGCTATTAATATGCTTTGAAGAGTTACTCGGTCTCACCATTTTCGTTGGTATTGCTGAAGTTTCTTCTTCAACACTCGGTTGTTCATGGATTTTATAATCTCGCTTGCATTTTGCTTGAATATTATTACCAATGCAACCAATCTGTACTCCATCGCAAGATAAAAATGTACTGTTGACCTTCATCTTTTCATGTTTCGTAAAATTGATATCGTTATTATACTTCAACCAAAAATTGTCAATTAATCCTGTTTTCATAGATTCAGTCTTACAAAAATATAATTTATATATATTAATAAAGGTTATCCAAAAATTGCAAATTAGAAAGTCACAGAATAGTAAGTCACAAGCTGACTACAGCGGAGGTGAAGTCCATAACCATGCGAAGACGAAGTTCCATGGGTAGCTGTAGCCAATAGCGGAGGCGAAGTCCATAACCATGCGAAGATGAAGTTCCATGGGTAGCTGTAGTATTGGCGACGAAGTATGGAGGCGAAAGAAGTGGGTGACTACTGAATGTGACAAACTATTCTGCAGTTACATGAAAATATACTAACGTTAAATTAATCTTCGAGGCGTATTGCATTTTTCTTTTCTTCTTTCATGCCTTGTTCGTTTATCTCTCGCAATTGTGTTCTGAATCTTCGTGTTACAATCGCTTTGTTCAAACTAAAATTGCAATCTTTTTAATGCCTCAAGATAATTAACCGCATCCCAGTCTTGGCAAGAAGTGTTCAGAAAATATTCGAATCCAGGCCCAGGCTCTTTAATGTTAGATAACATGGTTTATAGTGAGAAAGTTTAGGTTAGACGTTAGTTCTTTTCCTTTATATAAACAAGTTATCAGCCATATCTAATATTTCATAAGACATAATAATGTTTTTAACCCAATATGGTAGATCACAACGTTTGATGCAATAAGACGATCCAATTATATCCGCTGTCCACGTGTAAATTCACAAAAATAAGAAACTTTCTAATTACATGTATCTCTCGATTCAGGATATGGCTTTAATATACAGTCAATTCTCTCTAAATGCACTCTCTTTAAATCAGGAACGATGAAATTTTGCAAAATGCAGAAAACCGCAGAAATTGCAGATTGATGGGATTTTTGCAGAAATTACATTAGACTGCAAAGATTGCAGAATTGCAGATTTACCTCCCTTATTCTCATACAGAAAAACGCGTATGAATTTTTTAACATATACAAATTTTTTGACATGTCCTCTTTGAATAAAAATCACTTTTTTTTGATGGCACGACATAAGAAAATTACTTCTCAAACTCGTATTTCTGAATTTCCCGGTCATTTTTATATCGATAACAATCTACTTTTTTGCAATTTTTGTAATATTTCCGTAGAATGGAAACGCAAATCAACAGTAGATGATCATATCAAAAGCAAAATGCATTAAGAAAAAAAAGAAAAGCTGATCAAAAGTTGACACAATGATATCAATAACAAACCTTATCTACTGTATTAAATGCAACGGATGCCCTATGAAAAATTGATGGCAATTGCTGATATTCAATTAGAAAAAGTAATCTTTCTACATTCCTTTCTTCAAAAATATTGCCACAATGGAGGTGCCATTCCACAAGCTCCAACTCTTCAACAAATTTATTTACCCTATGTTTTTGAAAATCATTTAACAGAACTTAAAGTTTTGTTTAATAACAAACCCATTTCAATTATTATGGATGAAATCACTGATAATTGTAATAGAAAGGTTGTAAATACCGTATTTACATTTCAATCAAAAACAAAACTTGTTACTATTTTTGGCAAAATTTAATATTTCTTATACTTTATTCTATCTTTTTATATTTGATTCTGCTTCTTATATGAAAAATATTATCATGATGTTCTTAAGCCTCTAATGTTACAATTATTTCATAATTCATATTGCACACATATTATAAGCTTAATTGGATATGTATATATTATATTATATTATATTTGAAATATTTAATTATTTACTAACTGGCATGATTTAAATTAGAGAAATATAACTCAATTTTTCATATTTTTCCAATATGAAAAAGTTATTATATGATATCAAAGTAATATTTGTTACAAGTTCAGCTTGTTAAAGTTGATATTTAACTTTTTTAAAAAATCATGAAATTTTATTACCACAAAAAATTCCTCTTCCAGTTATTACTCATTGAAATACTTGGTTTGAAATAATTTTTTATACTTTGAAATATCTTTTTTTATTTCATGATTTTTTCAAAAAAGAATTTGAAAATAATTTTACAGATAGTATAACTATTGAAAAAGTTTTAACTATTCTTAATAATTCTAATAAATTTGATTTAATTCATATTTATCTTCATTTTATTTTAATTTATACTTATGAATTTGTTCAAGATTTGGATTTTTTTCAAATTTAAAACAAATCTCTTTTTTCTTTTATTTATACTTATTTAGAGCAATTATTAACTTATCTTCAACAAAATCAAAATTCTGAATTTTTTTCTTCAGAATTAGATACTATTATTCACAAATACAATGGAGATCTATTAAATTTTTACCTTATATTTCATAAAGTATTTGAAATTTCTTTTAAAAAATTTAATTCTCATATTTTTATATATTTTTTATATTCTTTATTCAAAGTATATCAAGTGTTTGATCCTGCTTATACTTGTTTTGGTATAATTAAAAGAAGAAATATTCAGCAATATTTTATTATTTGAGAATTAGCTAAATCTTCAGAAGATTTACTTTATAAATAAAGTATTTATTATGAATAAGATAAAAGTAAATTATTGGAAATTTGAATTTAAATCAATTTTAGTAAGATAGTATTAATTATTTTCTCTTATTTTCTAATATAACTTTGAATTATATTTGATTATCTATTTTTAATTACAGTATAGAATGTAATTTTTCAAATTATAATAATATTTTATCTAATAATAGACAAAATCTTTCTGAAAATTTACTTAAATCATTAAATATATTATATTGAATAAATAAAAAAATTACAGAATTCAAAATATTATCACAGAATTATAAATTTTTAATATTATAGAATTTTTGTAAAAATTATATTTTATTGCAGATAAAATTTACTTTTAATTATCACAAAAAATTATCATTCCTACTCTAAATACATACTCTTCTTATATAATAATTTTGATTAAATTATCTTTCTTTAGCTTAGATCTTTATTTTATACTATCTGTATTACAGATTAGCTTTATATTATATTTTTAAAAAGATTAATTTCATACTGGATATATAGATGATTATTATGCATTTAATACATTATATTTAATATATTATTATACAGATAATTACTATATATATTACAATTATTAATTTGGATTATTAATATTTTAATTAGATATTTCTTTTTATAATTCTTTATATTTTTACTTATTTTTCTTATTATTTATTTATATTATTATTTATCATTATCTTAATTATTATTACTTATTAAATTATAATTAGTTGCCTTCTGAAAATACAAATTAAATTAATTAATTCTATTCAATCTATATATAATTTAAATTAGAAATTTGTATTAATTTATTTATATTTTGTATTCATTTCTTTTCTTATAAATATAATCTCTCTATTTTGTACTTTTATCTTTAGATCTGAATACTTTTAAATAATAAAAATAATTATAAGTTATAAAATTAAAACTGTTCATATTATATTTTATCTTGTTTATAACTATTAATAAAATAATCTTGCAACTTAATAGTAATAAATACAGTTATTACAAATATTGCTTTCTAATATCTTACTATATATTATACATTATACACACTATACATATATATTTTAGTTTTAGTAAATTAATATCTTGTCAAAATAAATTCAAAATAATTTGTCTAATTTATACAGAGCATGACTGAATTAATTAAAATAGTTAAAGAAAATGATCCTTCTGGTTCTAAGCTTTCTTCTTATCTCTCAGTTAAAATATCAAAATATTTAGAAGAGCTAATTAAAAATGTATTTGTTTGAATTAGAGATGGGAGCCGTAACTAGCTGTAACTCTGTCGCAATTCTCTGATTAGCTGCCGCAACTCTGTTGTAATTCTCTGATTAGCTGTCGCAAGCTGCAATTAGTTGAAGAGCCATCTTTAGTTTGAATTATACAAGTCAAAATTATATTTCAGATTCAAGAAATTGAAGATGAGAAAACTCAGATATAATATACTATCATCTTCTTAACAGATATAGCTTTATATTAGTAACTTAATATAGTAAAGGCACATAATAATATTACATTTTTTGATAAATAGCAAGATTTTATTATAATACTTAGAGAAGTATTTTAGTTATCTTATTATCAGTAATATCTTTGTAAATAACTTTACCTTCTTTATCAAACTAGATCTATATAAGACTATAATATAAAATTCAAAAATATAGTTAATCAAGTTACAGATATGAGTGATTTAGATCAAGTCATATACTTTATAGAAGATTTGAAATCTATTACAAAAATAGAAGTTAGTTATTAGATATCAGAAACTCTAGAAAAAGCTTGAAAATTAATTATTTATTATAATATAGTAATATATAAATAAAACAGATCTCTAGGCTTACCAAGCAGAAATAATAATAATTATTGCTTACAGAACTAGCATAAAAGTTATCAAAATAATAGTCTTATATTAATGAAACTTGATCAAGCAAAAAGTTATTATAATAATAGAAAGAATAATAATTATAAGAATAATAAATCTAAAGATATATATTATAATTATAATAAATCAGATTACTTTACCAAGAATTATTATTTTAAATCAAAGATCAAGATTATAAATATTGAAAATAAATAAAAAGAATCTTTATAATCTTATAAAAGAGTTAAATTTATTTATCTTAAAGATAATATTACTATAGTGACATAAAATTTCTTAATTCCTTAATCTTTTCCTAGTTATGAAAAATTATATTTTATTATAATTTTATTTATT